AAATATTGATAGATTAATAAACGACAGAATTTTTAAATTACAATAGCCCTCATAAACCTATTTTCCTTAATACCTACGAAAAGCTAAACAACTCAAAAGCTACTCACTCGAATTTTTATTTAGTCGAAATGTCAGAAAAATTAATCACTTGATCGTTTACAATARCAAAGTGAGATTGTCATTTAAACAGTTTGTGCTTCCATAAAACAGTTCTTAAGTGGTATAAAAATCTAAGGAATTTAAAAATATAGTCTTTAAGTACAAAATATTTTTAATAATTGCATTATTTATGAAGAAAAGAAGGGCAAGCATGCTTGGTGAATCACTATGTATAGTTCATTCACCATACAGATGTGTGTTAAATGCTATACACTTACCGATGTTAGGTAATACAGTTTAACTYTCTGAAAAACCGGATCCACTGAAAACGATGGGCCATAGTATTATTATGCATAAATAAATTTACAGTTTTGAACTGTAGTTCGAATCAAGTTAATAAGCTATTTTAAGGACATACAACTCAAACAATAAATATAATATATAGGTATAAACAAATTATTAATGGATCCAATRAGACAATGGTTACACTCAACTGATAAACATAATACGAATTCCTGTAGTAAATAAGGAATAACTTCTTATATAACTATAAATATCTTGTGGAAACCAAATATTGACAATTTATGGGAATATATCAATTGCCCTTAAAATTTCATTTTTATAAAACAATATTACAAACGGTCATTATTTTTTGAACAACAAAATAAGAAAATCGTTGTATGAAAAATTATTAATTTAAAGGTAAATACCCAATGTTTAATTTCAAACGTACRTAAAAAAAATTGTTCTGGAGTTACTCAAAAWTTTTTTTTCCACCAACAACCAATAAGTAGAACYTTGTAAAATCAATACATTCATCGCTCAGAATTTAATATTGCAAATTACTTGTCAAACATTCCTTRTATATATTATACTTATACATAGAATTATGATTATTAATAGGTACTTAATATATAGAATTGGAAAGTTATAAAATTATTCAATTTTTATTCTCCAAACATGTAGTTATTATTGTCTACTTATCGAATGTTTTAAAAATCAGTATCATACAGTYACGAACTTCAAAGAAAAAATAACGAATAAATAAAATATCAATGTATCAATGTATCAAYCGTATTAAACATTTTTACTAAACACCTTCCAAAACTCTATACTTATTTAGACTTGAAAKATGTTTATATATAATAATATAGCAATATCACTTAAATCCAACATTAAAATTAATCAACAAAATTACTGAGTATCAAGAATTCGCGCCTAGGTATGGTAAATATACGAGAAAATACTTTGGATTTTAAACGAATCACYGCCAGTACCAATTATTTATCCATCGTTATAGCCATAATATTATGTTGAAAGACACTTCTCTGAAAACTTAGACAAGAACAATCCCTTTGACATTGAATGTAGATATATACGAATGATAATATGTGAACAGCGGTTTATATTATAATATTTTTTTTTCGGTCGATCGATACTTGATCGTAACAAAATCKATCCACGATCTTGTCAAAGCCCTGTGCACGAGAGTATTATTTATGTACAACTTACTAATTCGACATACTATCCTATTCGAATAACTAATTATCATTCGAATCATCAAAATAGTTTTTAGCCCGATACTCGAAACACTTCCATAAAATAAATGCGTCATTTCGGCTTACATATCATACACGATAAAAGCATAATCCAGACAACAATTACAGTGCAAGTTTTWGGTAAATGTATGTACCTAATCTATGTACCTACTCTATATTGCCTTCATAATTTTGTTTTAATAGATATTCCCTAGATCATTCAAAATATTATTTTTGAGATTTGTACAATAATTAAAGATCGTATACCTGCTCGATATTACATATACTATTTGATTATACTGGTATAGTTGCTAYTTTTTACAATAATTAAATAAATATTTTCATATATTTTTAAAATCATTACCTACTCAGATTCATGAAATTAAAATAAAGGTAAAATGCACAAGTAATACATTTGTACTGGATTTCTCGTAACAAAACATC